GGTATGTTCCTGTACAGCCAGGCCTTAGTTACCACCATAAGAACAACGTCCAGGGTTACTACACGTCATTGTGTTGAACAAAGACATCTTGTGTAAAGAGATTTTGTTTTCTTTGTTTTCCCAGCAGTAGTTATTCATTTAAAAAGAAACCTAACCATCTGCACATTCTTTATAATAACCTGCCGTCACTCACGCGCCTCATGTATCAATGTTTTAAATGTAACCGATCATTTGAGGGCAGCTCTCATCACCAAACATGTGCCATGATTCCTGCAAATTTTTTTTTTTTATTTATTAAATTTTTCAGCAATAAAAAAAAAAAAAAATTTGTACCTCACAAATTACTTGGACTTGGATACACTTATGTTTACACTATGGGAAAACACATACTGTAGGTATACACACACACTACAGTACAGTGCACAGACGTTATGACTGTATCTGCAGTCCTGTTTTTGGAGATCTGCCGAAAAATAATTGGAAAATCTTTCGGGCTTTGATTCTATAAATTTCTGGGATTCTCGGGATTCTGCAGAGTCTCTAGTTTTTTGAGGAAAGTATTTTAGAAAATAATTGAGGCATTTTCAACTACTTCCTGACATGTCAGATTAAAAATACTCATATTAAAAATCAACATAATTGAACCATATGCCACATTTAAAAAATAAAAATAAACTCAGATTTCAGACATCTTTAAGACTTGAAAATGAAAAAAGTAAAGGGATATGACTGGATTTTTTTTTTTTTTTTGCAATGAAGTAAATTAGTAAAACTGAAGTACATGTTTTTGTCCCACTACGGACCGGCACTGGTCCCCGAACCGGCAGTTGGGCACCACTGTATAATTTTTTTTTATTCCACTAATGTTCTTTTTTTTTTCTTCTATAAAAAACACAGTCAATCAAGCTCAAACCCAAACGTACTGTTTAGATAAAGTCATCTTTCGCTATGAGACCAAGTTACAAGCTAATGATGATGACTGGCGACCAAACTAACTAACAGAGAAATGTTCATTATACCGAACTGACATATAAACCTAGCATCAAAGTCCAACTCGAAGAAGTAAAGAGTAACTGCCCTCATCATCATCATCATCATCATCATCATCATCCTATAACTGCTGTCAAAGAATTACAAAACAACCCAAAGCCTTTATATTTTCTTTATGAAATAAATGTGATTTCATTTTTTTTTTTGGTTACATGAGAACTCAAACCTACTCATTTCTATATATAAAAAAAAATTTACACGCTTTTTTTTAACCATCCATTCCGTTTAGTTGTAAGCCCCTAGTGGATGAACCAGGGATTTCCATTGTTTAGTCACGTTTGGACAAAACAAATCCGACGTCCACTGAGCGGATTAGGCTCTAATTCATCACTGAAATCCTCTCCATGAAACGCACTACATTGTTCTGAGAGGAAATCACTTCTAATTGTGAATGTGTTTTGATTTAAATGGTGAAGCAGGCAATTCATGTGTCCCAAAAAAAAAAAAAAAAAAAAAAGAAATTAATTACAGTTATTTTTTTCTCCAAATTGTAGTTTTGTATGCAATATTAAAAAAATATCAACAGCAGGAAAAACAAAACTGTCAGTTGTTTGCAATTTCATTTACCGTTTGTGTTGCTTTTTGGGCATCGTTATATTTATTATGTGACAATCATTCTGTTATCCTGACATTTTTTTTTTTTTTTGCTGAAAAAAAATAAAATAATTAATAAAAGAGAAAACTACAGCCACCTTAGTAGACGTCACTTTAGCAAAAAAAAAAAAAAAAGTCACAGTGTGAGCAAATGGATTAGAAAGAGGGTAAAACATTCCTTTGTAAATTTATTGGAGTAAAGTTATGTTGTTTTTTTTAAAAATACGTCATTGTGACCCATACGTAATTAAAAGCTGGGAAATTTCATTGATACAATTATACTGGATTGATTGATGATTATTGTAAATGACATTTATTTGATTAAATAAAACGATTGAACTGTTAATGGTGCGTTGTGTTTTTTTTTTAAATCAGCACTAACAATAAAACTGATAAAGCTTGATAACCCAACTATATTTTTTTTATTTAACCTATAATTAAACAGAGAACTGACACATAATGCTCCTACACTGAAAAGATTTGATGAGACAAAAATAGTGTCGTGCTGGGTTTTACTCTATATTCATGGACAAGTTGCATTTGTTTTTGTTTTTTTCTATAATTGAAATAGCGGTTCGTAGTTTTTCTTATTTATTCCAACCATAATCCGTGTTAGGCCGGGCTTCACTTTGACTACATCCTATTTTTTTTTTTTTAATTAAAAGAGCTGTATTTACAAATATTTTCGTGACCATGGGAGCATGTAAGGAATTTATTTTTTATTTTTTAAATTTTTTATGTTTTTTTATTTTTTGTTTTTTTTTATTTTTTTATGTTATTTATTCTCTACATCCCTACATCTTTGTTGAAAAAAAAAAGATTATAAGGGATCATTCAAAACAGCAATATAAAAAATACGCTACGTTGCCTTGCTCTCCAGCCCCCCCTTCTGTGAGAGCAGAGAACTAAGAAAATAATTTAACAGAAACAGGAGGGAGCTTTTCTACTATCTATGTGAACGTCAAACGGTATCAAGAGAAAAAAAAAATCAAAATCAGAGAAAGTATTGTGTGTCAAGACTCAGTTTAGTCAACAGACAACTGTACTGTACTGTACTATGTTAACATAGACCAGTGTTTCTCAAATAATGGGGCGGGCCCCCCCTGAGGTGCGTGGCGAGGTGGGCCCTGGACATAAGTGTACCACTGCTGTAACGCTTAAATGATAACAAGCCTCCAGTCACTAGGGGGCAGCAACTCATACAGTGGTTTGTACAGATAAGAATATACACGTCATCAGGTTCTCAATAGTAATTTCAATTTGTGGGGGTGTAGGTCGGAGGAGGCGTGAAAACATTTCTGTCCCCAAGGGGGCGGCATGACAGAAAATAAATGAGAACCACTGAGTTGGACGAATGGCTTCGGTTTGATTGATGGAAGGAAACCTCGGGGACCAAAAAGGATTATGACACTTTAAAAAAAAAAAAAATCATCGCACTAAGTTTTGGTCAACAACATGGAAAAATCAGGCTGAGGATCTATAAAACGGTGAAATGCCAATCGTCCGTCACGGAGGAGAGGCTGCCCCCTTGTGGAGTTAGACCAGCCAAGCAAACAGCACACGCGACAAAGAATAAGAAGGTTCAATTTTTATTGCTTTAACAAATGATCTGTGTTTAACTCCATCTACATGATTAGGTTACGTGATTATTCTGATGTCAAGTTAAATTAACAACAACACTATACTGTTTACTGTAACATGGCCAGCATGTAGACTTTTGCATTTAAATTAAGGTACTATACTACACTCTGGGGGTTTTTTTTTTCTCCATTTCCTTACAAAACTACATTTTTACCTCCATCTGAAACATACAAAAAAAAAGTCTCGGAACGGAATACAGAATATAAGGCACTGCGTATCAGTAATAGCCTCAGTTACCATACATAGATATTCTAACATGTCCAAAAAAAAAAAGAAAAAAAAAAGAAAAGCACTGTCTACTGCGTTCTATCTTTAGACGGGACTTGCTGGGATTCCTCTGACAGCTCCTCTTGTCTCGACCTGGAATCTTTTGCCTGCCTCGCGTCTGAAAATCCTGGAGGATTGAAGAACAGGGGAAAGGCATAAAATAATATTTTGTTAGAGCCGAAAAGCGATAAACATATCTGGATCCCTGCGACTTCAAACGGTTGAAATTCAAATGCAGTTTTACCAAAAATCACGTTACAAACCGTTGGAGCCGCTCTCCTTCCATTTGAGCTTGTTGTCCTCAGTGTGTCGCGTCCACGTGGAGCGAAAGCTCACCAGCTCGGCCGTGATGTGGGCGAGGCTCCACTGCAGACCTCTGGAGCTCTCCTTCCAAAGGTTACTGTGGACAAAAACACACGGCTAAGCATCAATGTTGGATCAACGAAATGGTTTGTTTTCAAAATTATTGCACGGTGGAATTTCGAGATACGAGCATAATCCGCTCCGGGACCGAGCTCGTAACTCGAGGTGCTCGTATCGCAAATCATTTTTTTCCCATAAGAAATAACAGAAAAAGAATTAATCCATCCCGGCCCTCTAAAAAAACTCCCTTATTAATGCTAATAACGAGATTCGAGACAGACGATACAGTAGCGGCTAATGGCGGCGCAGGGAGGGAGGGAGTTGGCCTGTACGTAGACACTAGATTTTTTTTTAAATTTTTCCGATTTGTATTCTTACTTTAGCGGGGCACCACGCTCATATTTATCGTCAATTTCATGCTTTATTTCCATGGTCGTCATTTCCATGGCGTTTCTTCTTCTCTCTACCTCTAAGACTCATCACTATTATGAAGAATAGTGCACAAAATAGAGAGAAAATCACGTAGATATCGCAAACACAATACGGAAGACTCGCGGGAGACGCGTACGGATGTCGACGAACGCGTGACGTGAACGAGTGAGCCGGCTTTGGCTGCTCCGAGTCCTTGGCCACCTAGCGTCGGCGTCTGTAAGTGTGCTCGTATCTCGAAGCAAACATTTGCTCGACGGCTTGCTAGCGTCGGCGTCTGTAAGTATGCTTGTATCTTGAAATACTTATATGTCGAGGTTCCATTGTACTTCAGCATAGCTATAAAACAATCCACTGGGTTAAAACTGTTTGGGGTTTTTTTTGGAGGGGGGGGGGTTCCTCCACCTGTGTCGGTTGCAAGGGTCCGGTGGTTCTGGATTCTCCTCCACCAGAGGGATGACAATCTTTTCGGTCATGTCCGTCAGCAGGGAGAATGTAGGATACACGATAAAGTCTATGAAACCTGTACGGAAAAAAAATTATTTCTTACATCAGTGGTTCCCAAAGTTGCAAACAAAATCGATGCAATATTGTTATCAGATATTCATTTTACACCGCCTTCAACCAATTGGAAGCATTGGACGATATGCTAACCCTAAAGCTAATGCTAATGCTAACGCTAATGCTAATGCTAACCCTAACGCTAACCCTAACCCTAACGCTAACCCTAACCTTAACGCTAACACTTATCCTAACCCCCCCTCCCTGTAATGGCACTGCGCTCCCCCAAAGGGGCGCGCCCCCCACTTTGGGCACCTCCTTCTTACATAATAATGTGAAAATAAGTCTTGTCTATGACATGAAAGCTCTTATTTCACAGTAATGCTACAAGAATCGCGGTCTCTGGTGAATCAGAGTGAGAAAAAACTTCAGAAAAAAAATGTTTTATGAAGCTGTGATGAATAATAAAAAAAAAAAAAAAGGAAGTGAAGTTCAGAAAAGACACCTACCGATCTGGGACTCAGCTACCAGCGTGCTTTTTCGATCGCAGAGAGGAGAGAAGGGGAGACCGAGCTCTGCCTCTCTATCGCCCTCACAAAGACAGAGAAGAGAGAAAATATCTCAAAGAACATCCCACTCCTCGCACAAAAATAACGTTCCAAAAAGGTATTTGATTCCCACCTCCGTAAAACCTAAGACTGGTTTAAAGAGATCCAAAGTAAGGGGCCTACGTCTTTGTACTTCTCAAGAAATTGAACGAACACAACCTGTGTTTGTCACTGGTGGTTGTGCAACATAACAAGAGCAATTGTTCCCTGTCTCAGAACATGAAGAGGAGACACAAAAGCCTGGTGCGGACCTGTACGGTCAAGTACCGTCAAGGCTCGAGAAAACCAACCAAGTTGAATGAATTTAACACCATATACTTTCATATATGTATATATATATATTCGTGGCGCTTTGGCCCAGAGGCAATGTCTCTGTCATTGGTGTGGAACCCCAGGGTTCACCTCCTGGGCAAGTTCGAATACCGGTTAGGGCGGTTGGTACCTTCCAGTGGACTCACCACCCGCAGGAAGGTTTAGGGGGTTGGTACGGTGCAGAGTGATTTGGGTGGCGACTGCTGCCCCCGCGACCCGGTAACGGATAAGCGGATGAAAATGGATGGATGGATATATATATATTCATTTATTAGGAGCTAATATAAAAGATTACCTGTCTAAAAGAGGAGATGATAAGACACGAGATGAGAATTTGAAGTGTTGAAGATGAGGTGGAGAGGAGAGGAGAGGAGATCCTACCTGCCTGAAGAACTCCTCCATGAGGACTTTGGTCCAGCGTGAGTGCAGCGCCCAGGGCTTGGACGGGTGACTGATGTCGGCCGTGTGAAGTAACAGAGAAAGCGCTTTGGCCTTGTCGATGCTGCTGAGAAACGACAGCATCGTTGAGGACAAACGAACCTGCAGTGAACACGTGATGATGATGATGATGACGACGGACCACCAGAGTGAACGCCGGTCGTACCGCTCGTGCTGCTGCAGGCAGGACTTCATGGCTTTGACCTGTTGTAAATGGTAGGACATGTCGGTGGACAACACCATCTCTACCACCAGTGAGCGCAGCTCCCTGTCAACACACACACACACAAACACGCAACCACACACACACACACACACACACAACTTCAGCATATACTGTGATAGACTTCTGTTCCCATGGTGACGGTGACCACATGTGAAGCCCAAAACCAAAGGCTGCAGGTGTTCATCTGCTGACGTCATCGAGAACTATCAACAGAATAGTAGAACTAAATACTGTATATATATGTATATGTATATACAGTATTTATTTCTTAATATCTAAATATTAGATATTAATATATAATATTAATAGTTCTTGATAGTTCTCTCTATTAAGAACTAAATACTGTATATATATATATATATAGTATATATGTATACATATATACAGTGTATAATCTGTATTTATATGTATACATATATACAGTATATACACATGTATATATATGTGTGTATATATACACATATATAAACAAACCGCATTTGGTAAAGTTTATGAATGCAATAAAAGAAACAATAAATCTGTTTTGTTAATGCCTTTAAACCCTCAGAAGGTACAGAAAAATGGCTTTTAGTTGTTCTGCTGATTCTATTTCCTATTGGCTGTTTACTTTTTAATGAAGCTAAGAACAGGTCTTGACCCCACCACACCCTGGGAACCCCTGTAGTACAGCATATAAAAATAGCCGCTCTACATTTTTTTGCATTTTGAGGAAGTGTTTCAATGTTTTTGGAAATGAGGTTTGTGTGTCCTGGTAAATTTAAACAAGATCAATCAGTGCTAACCATCACTCCACTGTTCAGTTTAATCAACACTACCACTGAATTGACCTACGTGGCTACTACGCTAACTCCAGTTCTGTATTAACTGTGTCGTAGAATTGTACGGCTAACTGTAAAAACAGTGTGTGTTCTGTCTGTTTAAGGCCAATGTGAATAAAGACTGTATTTGTCTGCTGCGGCAGATAAACACACTTTACTGCTCCACTGAGTAATTGCAGTTTAGTGAGTGTGTGGGATTGGCTGAACCCAAGAGCTGTGTGCCCACTGATGGGATTTTAATATGTTTTGGAAAAGAAACTAAGGACTAAGGCAAAGAAAACTACTGCCACGTCAGACTTAGGGCTAATAGAGAAAAAATTTTTTTTTTTTTACTGTTGCCACTTTGGAAATCCCTTTACATCAGTTTTCTGCAGTCGACATTCATCCACTCATTTCACTACCAGGCCTGTCGTCTTACATCCACTCTTCTCGGGTCAAATGACTGAAAATGTTCATTTGTTTGTCCTGCAGGAGCCGGAACGCGGCGCTCAGGTGATGGCTTTCCAGCACAGATCGATCATTGTAGATCAGTGCAAACTCTGAACTGGGAAATAAAGAAAAAAAAAAAAAAAAAATGAAAGATTTTTTTTTCAAAGAATTTAAAGAAGCAAGAAGAGAATGTAAGACATTAAATCACAGCACTTTCTTCTCACAGTACAATGTGGAGATGGTGTTAATTAACTTAT